TTCGATTAGATAACTCGACATGAAATTTTCTTTTTAGCAGTAGACGAGAGTTGTCAGTTGAGACCGCTGTATCTAACTCCCGGAGACGTTCCCCGACGACCTGCTACCTGATCTTCCTTTTACTAGTTTCGTAAAGATTATAATCATCTTACCTTGTGATCTTTGTTCAAACTAACAACTAACCCAACATTGTATCGTTGGCCACTTTTGTCCAGCATCTTGTATTTAAGCAGAAATTCAGAGTCTGGACACTGGAAGCTTGTTTGTAGAATTGTTTTTTTGAATAATTTCATGTTCCTTTTTTAAGCTGTGTTTCAATTAATTTGATCGGAAATCTAACATTATTGTACGTATTATAATTTATTATTCACAAACTTGTACTGTTTTGAGGACATCCAAGGAGAGCAATTAATTATTGAAAAAAAAAACAATATATCTGAACATTTTTCAATCATCCATTATAGATTAAGTAAATACATGGTTTATATTTGAATTTTAGTACTTCTACTAGATTTTAAAAAAATGGTACTTTCAGAAAAAAAAAAAAGGCACTTTGAAAATATTTTAACTTTTCGTTATTTTTGTTTAAACTTTCAACTTGAGAGAAAAATTATTTTAGTTATACTTTTGCTAATGGATCAAGTTTATGTTGGTTTTCGTTATATTAATTACTTGAATTTAATTTTAGTTTTAATTGTGATATTTTTATAACATTTATATTAAATAATTTTTTTGTTCCTATATTTTAGCTTTCATTCATCTTAGTTCAGGTTGATCGGTATTTTTATGTTCACTCTTCGTAAGTACGCGGACAAGATGGACTAAAATGAATTTATATTAAAAACTTTTCATAATTGATAAATTCTATAAATAGGGACATGGACAAATTCTATAAATAAGGATAAAAATGTTCACTCTTCAGAAGTACGTGGACCATATGGACAAATACAAATCATATCACATAAATTATTATTATTATTATTCTTTTTGAGTATCACATAAATTAACTTCCATTTAAATGTTATTGTTATAACAATAGGCCGTTTTTACCCAACTATTATACTTAAAAAGTCGACTGCCAACCTGAATATAGCTTATATATAAATTATACTTGAAAAGGTCAACTACCACCTAAATATAATTTAAAAGGTACCTTTTTAGTTCAATCCACACCTTATACTTATACCAAAAGAATTAAAAGAATCAGCTATATCATAGTAATTACTAATTATGTTGGAGTTGAGTCTTGAATTCTGTATGTATAAGTAATCAAAACTAAAATTGCGTGCGATGTACGTCAATCTGGACCGTTCACGCACAACGGTCCCACTGAATCATAAATGGTCCTAGTAAATAGACGGCTAAGATCTGCGTTACGTACGGCGAAGAGATACAAGCGAAATACTCTCGATCATTTCCCCTCCACACAAACAAACGATGCTGCTCTCTGTATCTTCGTTCTGAAAATCGGTTCCTCCTGCCATTGTTCAGTACTCATCTTTGATCTTTCTGAGCAACTCTTCGATTTTTGTATCACAGGGAACAAGCAATGAACGGATCGAGCTGTGTTTGTACTTTGTTCCTCATTCTGATTCTTTATTCGGCTTCGTCTTTGGCTGGAATAGTTGATGATCGGCGTGTTCCGCGCTCCGGTTTTCCTTCCATCCAGGCCGAGGACCTGATCAGAGAGTTCAATTTGTTTCCTAAAAGTGATGCCAATATCGTCCATGGAAATCTCGAGAATTCCTCCATGGTCGCCCTCGGGTCGAAGAGAATCGTGGAGAAGCGTTTGAGATTCCCATTCCTTGATGATTCTGAGGTTTCTGTAGAAGACCTGGGCCACCATGCTGGATACTACAAGATCGAGCATTCTCGTGGTGCGAGGTGAGGCTTTCGTAACCCTAGCGTTTCACTTCAGTCCTGCATGTTTTTGTGTGTGTGTGGTGGATTGTCTCATCACATCATACCCGGTATCTTGAAGAATTATTGTTAATGGTTGGTGTGACTATTTGGTATAACTAGTTTGTTCGCCTGAGCATTTATGTCCGATTCGGTGAAGAATATGTTGACTTTCCTTTACAGTTTACCAGCTGAATGTGATGTTTATAGGAGTGTGGATCGTGGATGTTATTGCGAATACTTTTTTCAGCATGTTACTAATTATAATCTATGTTTTAATCACAATTCTTTGTTTTAATTACAATTTATTGAAATGGTAGTTGGTTTTTTCTGCTATTGGCAAACATTTGTGTGAACATAAACAAAATAGTTTGTTGAAGCTATCCAAATTCCATTATCTATTATTGCTCTGTTCTGTTATAATGTGTGTGGGTTGTGCTCAGCGTTTTAATTGTTCAATTTTTGTGTAGGATGTTCTACTTTTTCTTTGAGTCCCGCAACAGCAAAGCAGATCCCGTTGTTATCTGGTTAACTGGAGGCCCAGGATGCAGCAGTGAATTGGCTTTGTTTTATGAAAATGGGCCTTTTAAAGTTACTGATAACTTGTCACTTGCTTGGAATAAATATGGTTGGGATAAGGTATATCTGTTTGCTACTTTATTTAATTTTTTTTTTAATTTTTTGGTTCTCTATTTGGTTATATTATATTAGCCGAGCAGTTAGGCAACTGTTTATTATCTTCAACTCATATGGGCCAACATGTCCATACAAACGTTCACATGGCTGCAAGAGGAGGATATGTTACAATTTTTATTTCCCTTGCTGCAGGCATCAAATCTTCTGTATGTTGACCAACCAATTGGTACTGGTTTTAGCTATAGTTCTGATAGACATGATATTCGTCATGATGAAAATGGTGTTAGTAATGACCTGTACGACTTCTTACAGGTATTTTTCCTTCATTTCTCTTTGTTAAGTTACTGGTATTACTCATTGATTTTGGAGAAAAGTATTTTTTTAATTGTTATCATCATTGATTCAACATTTGGGACAAGCTCGATTGTTTGTTTGACTAACTGTGGGTGAATGTGAAGAGCTCAAAATTCTTGTGACAAATATTAAAGACTCTCAATGATGGGACATCCGGATTTTTTGTAATCAGGCGTTCTTTGGCGAACACCCTGACTTTGTGGAGAATGACTTCTTCATAACTGGAGAGTCTTATGCTGGGCATTATATTCCTGCTTTGGCTGCCCGGATTCATCAAGGAAACAAAGCCAAAGAAGGAACTCATATAAACCTTAAAGTATGTTTAATGTGTCTTGTAGTTAGAGCAGTAATGTACAAAATATTCTTCTTCTGACGTGATCTATCTATAAATTTTTTGGTCAGGGATTTGCTATTGGAAATGGTCTTACTGATCCTGCAATCCAATATAGAACTTACCCAGATTATGCATTGGACATGGGCATAATTTCTAAGGCTCAATATCACCGTATTAACTTGTTGGTTCCACCCTGCGAACTGGCAATCAATATCTGTGGTCGGTATTTTTTAGCTTGGCCTGTGATATTTCTGCGGAACCTCTCTCTCTTTCCTCTAGCTTGTAATGGCTTCTTCTGATATATTTTTTTAATATGCCTTACTTCTCCAGGTACTGATGGCACACTATCTTGCTTGACTTCTTATTATGTTTGCAACGCCATATTTACCAGCATTATGTTCCATGCTGGTGATATGAATGTAAGAGTACCGCTTTTCTTTCTGATCACAGCATCAGAGTTTTAAATTAGTGTTACTTCTTATGACCTTGGTTGATTAATCTCTACGGAATAATTGTTTTAGATAATTTACAAGACGAATAATTTGCAATTTCCAGGATATTTTTTGAATCACATCTATCATGTCTCTTCTACCTAATCTGAATGGCCTTCATGACAATTAATAAAATCAGAGTAACCTTATTTCTACAGTTTATTGATTGAAAATGGGAATGTTGCATGCGTAGATAAAAATTTTCTGTAGAAACCAAATAGATTTTTACTGACTACAAGCAATTAACTTTTCCACTCTTGTTCAGCATTATGATATCAGAAAAAAGTGTGAAGGGAGACTTTGCTATGACTTCTCAAATATGGAGAAATTCTTGAACCAGCAATCTGTTAGGGAAGCCCTTGGAGTTGGGGACATAGAATTTGTTTCATGCAGTACTTCGGTCTATAGGGCCATGCTAGTGGACTGGATGAGGAATGCCGAACTGGGTATACCCACTCTACTCGAGGATGGGATCACGATGCTTGTATATGCAGGAGAGTATGATTTGATCTGCAATTGGCTAGGTAACATTCAGACATGATATTAAATCTTATTAATGGATAAATAATTAAGCATTCACTTCACAATGCCCATCATGTACATATTTTTTTTCTAATTTTGGAGCATGATTATATATGGATAGGTAATTCAAGATGGGTAAATGCAATGGAATGGTCTGGTAAGCAGAACTTCACGGCTTCCCCTGATGTCCCTTTCCTGGTTGATGGTTCAGAAGCAGGATTGCTTAAAACACATGGGCCACTCAGTTTTCTCAAGGTTTCTCTCTCTCTCTCTCATATTTGCACTGTTGTAGTGGATTTCAAGTTCTTGGTCGTTTCTGGTGGTTATGTTATTGTATTGGATGTGTGATAACAGGTTCATGATGCGGGTCACATGGTCCCCATGGACCAGCCCAAGGCTGCACTAGAGATGCTGAAGAGATGGACTCAAGGCAAACTCCATGAAGAGTCAGTTGATTCAGAAACCTTGCTCGCTCAGATGTGATGATGGCAGGCAACATAACTGGACATTTGTCATTACAAGTATGTAGATATCTTTTAATCTGCCGGATCTATTTTTAATGTTTTATCCATAAATTTTAAGTTAAGATGCCCTGTTTTTCACTGGGTGTTCTTCGATTTAATATATCGCATTTTAGTTTTATAATCTTTTGTTTTTCTACCCCAACTTTGTTGTCAATTGGTCTCAGGCGAAAAAAACTCAAGTACTTTTTACTTCAGTCTGGAAGACTTTCATGAGTTTTCTTGAATGACTTTCATGAGTTTTCTTGAATGATCTTTTTCGGTAGTATAACATGTGGGGTGGATTCGAACTACTTTTTGATCATAAATAGGTGCTTTAACCAATTGAGCTATCCTCAGGTCGACTTGAACGGATTTGATAAAAACGTTCTAGTAAGAAAAAAATGCATTCTATCATATTATTAGTTTGTAGATATACGTAAATTTTCTCCTGCTCTTTTGCTCTTTATTCAATTGATTCAATAGAGAAGTCGTAAATTTGGCCACGGGGAAATCGTAGGTTTTTTTTTCCTTAAGCTAAAAAGTATCTCGAATCTATGTTAAGAGAATTTTCAAATCTGCATTCAAATTAGAAGCCAGTGTAGTGTGTCAACTTCATTCAATCATTTTTTTCCATCAAGAAAAGGAGATTAATTTCTTTGTAGTTCCCACCATTCTTATTGAACAATCTTTTATTATCCAGCTCTTCTCCCTCATTCCGTTCCTTTTTTTTTTTAGTACTTCAACCAATGGAGTATGATACAGATTGAAATCTCTAACTTCACAAAAAGTTAGGCCCTTATTTACTTACAAGAAATCAGAATGGAAAGGAATGAAAATTTTTCGCAATGATATCCACTGGGATGAGAATGTTACTTTGATGTTGTTTACTGTAATTTTTTTTAATACTAAATTTATCTGGAATCATAATAGGAAATAAGATATATAATAATTACTAATATACTAATCTAATTTTTAGTTAATTACAAATATATTATTGTGCTTATCTTGTCAATTATTTATTTATTTCGTTGATAATAAATGTTTTTTTATAACAATTTATCTAATATTAATACATAATAAATAATTAAAATAAAATTACAACAACTAAAATAATTTTTTATTAGAACAACCACGATTTAATATCAAATATTATTAAACTTCATAGTTATAATAATAATGAATTCCATTAAAAAACGTATTGATATTAATAGATAATGACAAAGCAAAATTAATTATTTGAACAAATTAATTAATATTTTGTAATATTTTATAATAAAATTAACTAATAAAAACTGTATAAAATTTTCTCAGAAGAAAAACTATTAGTAGTATAAATAATAAAAATGTAAAATAATTAATTAAAAAATAATGAGTCTTATTACTAATGAGAAATAAATGGTAAAAGTTGTGATGTAATAATTATTAAGGTATATATGCCTGAAATTGGTGAGGTTTTTTAAGAAAAGGAAAAAAAAATTAGGTTCTTAAGAAAAGGAAAAAAAATTGATTGAGGTCGTAAGAGAATGAATAATTACAAAGTTTAGGATGTGTCCTACCAATTTATTTCGTTAATACCATTTTGATTTATTTTATGTATTAATAGTCATGGTACAATGACACCGTATCATGATGTTGTAAAGTCAAAATGAACATAGTTCAGGTCATAGATCTACAATCAACAAGTTGTAAATTCGATATCTCACCTTCACACGTTGTACTAAAAAAAGATGTTATAAAAAGAAAAAAAATCTCGATATTATTCCATTCCAAGATCCCCAAGCATGTCGTCCAATATTTCCCAACCCTGCTTCAGAGTTTATTTAACACTTGCCAATGCAAAAACATTTCACTATCCCTTTCTTTCAAGAATGAAAATAGGAACAGAGTAGTTTCAACTTTTCCTTTTAAGTACAAAAACACTTTTTGATGTATGAAATATAACAAAAAGGATCCTACACAAAAACCGGATGTCAAAATATATACCTTTGACTAAGAGATGAAAAGTTTATCAAAAGTTTAAATTTCCATCGTATCTCAAGTGTTGTAGAACTTGAGAAGAGAAAAAATTGTAAAAATAAAAAATAAAAAATTTGATGATGTCTCATGTTCACTCCAAAAAGATTGGAATTGAAAGTGTGTGAAACAATTTCTAATAAATCGATCGCATAAAAGACAGGATCCAACTTGTATCATTGATACTACAAGAAATTTAATCAATTTAATTTAAAGAAAAAAGAAAAGCAAAATTGGAACAAAAGCATCTTTTGATTCGTCGATCCTTAAAAAAATAAATAATCAAAATTCCATCGTGAAGTGAGAATTCAGAAATTCATAAAAAGTTACAATCTCCGTCGCGTAATAGTGCACTCACTACATGTAGTTGCCAAAAAAAAAAAACGCCTAACATATTAAATCTTACGCAGATCGCGATCATGAAAAGTCCAACATACATGATCAAATGTAATCCCTTTATGAAAACAATACCCTTTTTTTATTTTTTCACTAATCACTTTTATTGCCAATAAGAACGAAATAAATAATTTGGGTATTATTCAAGAGAAGAAACCTGTTTCTGTAGGCAAGGACAGTGAAACAAGGAGTTGTTAAAAGACCTGATCTGGACCGTTCACGCATAACGGTCCCACAGAATCAGAAATGGGCCCAGCAAATGGACGGCTGAGATCTGCATTACGTACGGCAAAAAGATACAACTGAAATACTCTCCATCATTTCCCCTCCATTGTTCAGTGCTCTGCTCATCCTTCTGAGCAACTCTTCCATTTTCGTATCACACTGAACAAGCTGTGAACGGCTTCAGCCTTGCCTCTGTTTCTACTTTGCTCCTCCTTCTGATTCTTTCTCCGGCTTCGTCTTTGCCTCGAATCGTCGATTCCGATTTTCCTTCCGTCCAGGCGGAGCACCTGATCAGACAGTTCAATCTGTTTCCTGCTACTGATGCCAATATCGTCCATGCAAATCTCAAAAATTCCTCCATGATCGCCCTCGGACCGAGGAGAATCGTGGAGAAGCGGTTGAGATTCCCATTCCTTGACGATTCTGAGGTTTCTGTGGAAGACTTCGGCCACCACGCAGGATACTACAGGATCGAGCATTCTCGTGGTGCCAGGTGAGGCTTTTGTAACCCTAGCGTTTCGGTGATTTACAGGATACACTGGCGTAATTTTTTGCATACTTCAATAATCCTGCAGGTTGAATTTTTCGTGGTGGTCTGGTGGATTTTCTCATCACATCATACTCGGTATCTTCAAGGATTATTGTTAATAGTTGGCGTGACTACAGTTTACCAGCTGAATGTGATGTTCTGGAAGTGTGGATTATGGATGTTTATTGCTAATACTTTTTTTAGCATGGTACTAATTATAATATATGTTTTAATCGCAATTCGTTGTTTTAATTTCAATTTATTGAAACAGTAATTGATTTTTTCTGCTATTGGCCATACATTTGTGTGAGCATAAACGAAATGGTTTGTTGAAGCTATCCAAATTACATCATCTATTATTGCGCCGCTCAGCATTTTGATTGTTCAATTTTTGTGTAGGATGTTCTACTTTTTCTTTGAATCTCGCAACAGCAAGGCAGATCCTGTTGTTATCTGGTTATCTGGAGGCCCAGGATGCAGCAGTGAATTGGCTTTGTTTTATGAAAATGGGCCTTTTAAAATTGCTGATAATTTGTCACTCGTTTGGAATAAATATGGTTGGGATAAGGTATATTTGTTTGCTGCTTTATTCAATTTTTTTTCTTTTCTTTTTTGGTTCTCGATTTGGTTATATTAGATCTTTTTTTAAGGTTAGGATCTAGCTAGCCGAGCAGTTATACAACTGTTAATTATCTTCAACTTATATTGGGCCAACGTGTCTATACAAACTTTCACTTGACTGCAAGAGGAGATGTTACAATTTTTATTTCCCTTGATGCAGGCATCAAATCTTCTGTATGTTGACCAAATGATATTTCGTCACGATGAAAAAGGTGTTAGTAATGACCTGTATGACTTCTTACAGGTATTCTCCCTTCATTTCACTTTGTTAAGTTAGTGGTATTACTCGTTGATTTTGGAGAAAGTACTTTCTTAGTTGTCATCATCATTGATTATTCAAAAAAAAAAAAAATGTTATCATCATTGATTCAACATTTGGGACAAGCTCGATTGTTTGTTTGACTAACTGTGGGTGAATGTGGAGAGCTCAAAATTCTTGTGACAAATATTAAAGACTCTCGATGATGGGACCTCCGGCTTTTTTGTAATCAGGCGTTCTTTGGCGAACACCCTGACTTTGTGGAGAATGACTTCCTCATAACTGGAGAGTCTTATGCTGGGCATTATATTCCTGCTTTGGCTGCCCGGATTCATCAAGGAAACAAAGCCAAAGAAGGAACTCATATAAACCTTAAACTATGTTTAATGTGTCTTGTAGTTAGAGCAGTATGTACAAAATATTCTTCTTCTGACTTGATCTATCAATAAATGTTTTGGTCAGGGGATCCTGCAATCCAATATAGAACTTACCCAGATTATGCATTGGACATGGGCATAATTTCTAAGGCTCAATATCACCGTATTAACTTGTTGGTTCCACCCTGCGAACTGGCAATCAATATCTGTGGTCGGTATTTTTTAGCTTGGCCTGTGATATTTCTGCGGAACCTCTCTCTCTTTCCTCTAGCTTGTAATGGCTTCTTCTGATATATTTTTTTAATATGCCTTACTTCTCCAGGTACTGATGGCACACTATCTTGCTTGACTTCTTATTATGTTTGCAACGCCATATTTACCAGCATTATGTTCCATGCTGGTGATATGAATGTAAGAGTACCGCTTTTCTTTCTGATCACAGCATCAGAGTTTTAAATTAGTGTTACTTCTTATGACCTTGGTTGATTAATCTCTACGGAATAATTGTTTTAGATAATTTACAAGACGAATAATTTGCAATTTCCAGGATATTTTTTGAATCACATCTATCATGTATCTTCTACCTAATCTGAATGGCCTTCATGACAATAATAAAATCAGAGTAACCTTATTTCTACAGTTTATTAATTGAAAATGGGAATGTTTCATGTGTGGATAAAAAGTTTCTGTAGAAACCGAATAGTTTTATACTGCCGACAAACAATTAACTTTTCCACTCTTGTTCAGCGTTATGATATCAGAAAAAAGTGTGAAGGGAGACTTTGCTATGACTTCTCAAATATGGAGAAATTCTTGAACCAGTAATCTGTTAGGGAAGCCCTTGGAGTTGGGGACATAGAATTTGTTTCATGCAGTACTTCGGTCTATAGGGCCATGCTAGTGGACTGGATGAGGAATGCCGAACTGGGTATACCCGCTCTACTCGAGGATGGGATCACGATGCTTGTATATGCTGGAGAGTATGATTTGATCGGCAATTGGCTAGGTAACATTCAGACATGATATTAAATCTTATTTATGGATAAATAATTAAGCATTTACTTCACAATGCCCATCATGTACATATTTTTTTTCTAAGTTTGGAGCATGATTGCATATGGATGGGTAATTCGAGATGGGTAAATGCAATGGAATGGTCTGGTAAGCAGAACTTCACGGCTTCTCCTGATTTGCCTTTTCTGGTCGATGGTTCAGAAGCAGGATTGCTTAAAACACATGGGCCACTGAGTTTTCTCAAGGTTTCTCTCTCTCTCTCTCTCATATTTGCACTGTTGTAGTGGATTTCAAGTTCTTGGTCGTTTATGGTGGTTATGTTATTGTATTGGATGTGTGATAACAGGTTCATGATGCGGGTCACATGGTACCCATGGACCAGCCCAAGGCTGCACTAGAGATGCTGAAGAGATGGACTCAAGGCAAACTCCATGAAGAATCAGTCGATTCAGAAAACTTGCTCGCTCTGATGTGATGCCAACATCAACTGTACATTTGTCATTCCACGTATGTAGATATCTCTCTTTTTATCTGCCGGATTTATTTTTTTTAATGTTCTATCCACAAAATATAAGTTAAGATGTCCTGTTTTTTACTGGGTGTTCTTCGATTAAATATGTCGCATTTTAGTTCTGTAATCTGCTTTTTTTTTCAACCCCACTTTGTGGTCGAGTGATCTCGGAAAAAAACTTGGGTACTTCTGACTTTAAAGGGGAAGAATTTCACGAGTTTTCTTGAACAGGTTGATAAAGATTACAATGAGGTTTTAGTAAGAAAATATATTTTAGTATTACTACTAGTCTTTGGAAATTCGTAAATTTTCTCCTGTTGGGGTACATTAATCTCATAGAACAAGTTTCTTCCGCTTAGGTCAAAATATACTTTTGGTTTTTGAGTTTGAAAAACAGAAAAATGCAAACTCCCGAATTGAAGTCCCCTCTCTATCAAATTGTATTTTACTCTTAAATTTTTTTAACCTCCAAATGCAACTTTTTATGCTCTAATCATTATCATTAAACTTTTACCAATTCGAGAAGTCTTGAACTTTTACCAAATTTTGTTAATCTTCACCTTTTTTTTTTTTGGGTCTTCCCTTCGTGTTTCTAAACTAAGGATTAAATGATAAATGAAACATTTATTTTTAAGTTAATAAGAAAATCAATTTTAATTAAAGTATTTTAGAGATGGGAGAAAAGGGGCGATGAGAGGGAAGGAGAGGAATCCACCACTATTTGGCGGTTTTATATATAATAGTTATATATCGTTGAATTTATGATTTCATCATTCCATTTTTTCTTTCTATTACTCATTTTAATACATCAACAATGAGTATAGTTTTTGACGTCCTTTAATAACCTTCTATTTTGGGAGAGCGACACCACACCATTAATTAACTGACGAACTATATTAACTACTTCAAATAATATATATACTTTTACAAATTGAGAAAGTAGAAAAGGGAGAGACATAAACTATATCAATAAAAAGGGTATAATTTATAAACCTATAAAATTGGAATCTGAAGGGCGATCAAGTTGAAGTTAAAAGTTGCCATGCATATTAGGAAAAAAGAAAAACATTTTTTTGCATTTGCAATACGTATTAGGAGAAAGGAAAAACAAGAAAACCAAATAAACCCACATTTTTCCTTTTTAAATTTCCAATACCCATATCATTAAACAAGTAATTCCCCACTCCAATCGATCACATGGCCTCCTCCCTCCTTCCTAAAGAAAGACTAAACTTTTTTTTTTCTCCATGGCCACACCCAACTTGTTTGAAGGGAACCTTAAATAAAGCTTCCTCTAACAGAAAGGCAGTATTCCTCCATTGCTTAGTTTTGCTTTCTGTCTTCTCCACCATTCACTGTCCTAGAAGAATAGTTGCTGAAGGCAGCCAATGAAGGGCCTTGATTTGGTGACTTCCTCCACAGGATATATTCATTAATACTACCTCACCTCACATACTCTTGTTACGCTTAAGCTTAACATGAAGTCCTGCAACCTTCTGAGCAATCTGCAGGCAGGTTGTAGAAAAGGAAAAAAAAAAAAATCAATGGTTTCATGTACGCTCGAAAAGGTTCAAATTTGGGAGTGGGTGAATTAATTTCTAATAGATGCAATCCAACAATAAAAGCTTTCATATTAACCCTTCCTTTCCTAGAGAGCATCTAAGAAGTCCCAATCTACATGATCAAATGTCGTCCCGCTATGTAAACAAGACACTTTATTACCGATAAGGGTGAAATCGATAATTTGCCTATTAGTCAACAGAAGAAACCTCTTTCTGTGGGCAAGGACAACATAGCCGATCATGTGGAGGCCAACAATCAGATTAAAGCCTATGTCCTCTACTGTAAGTGCGAAATAGATTACGTAGGTGCAGCCATGAATGATAACTTTTCTGCTAACTATAAGAATACCTTCCGGATATCGTTCTTGATACATCCTGAGTCCGGCCTTTATATAGAATTCTGTGACTATACTAACTCTTAGAATACCTTCTGTATATCACTATTGATCATGATGATTAGTTGGCTTTTCAATTTTCGCATGAATTGAAACCTATAAAGAAAATGAAGCAGTGAAACAAAGAGTTTTTTGAGGACCTGACAAAAACAAGGAGTCCTTAATTTAGGTAAAATCGGGCTTATACCATAAAGGTGGCAGGCTGCTTCCAGAGAAGAAATAGTGGTGGTAAGTGGCTCAATGGATAAGAAAACTATATTTTCTCCGTGAGTTTGTTATGGCAACAAAAGGAAAACTCCATGACCGAGCTTCTTCGTTAAAATCAGAGGTGTCTTTTAAATGAGAAGAAGATTGAGAAAGAAACGAAAAACTATTCTCCAAAACAGAAAAGCCAAGGTGCTGCCCTGAAGCTGAGCGGATTGACTAGAAAGCCTAATTCGGAGGTAGGCAGTAAATGGCTGAAGCAGCCGTATGAACTGAACAGAATTTGAATATCAGTCTAAGCTTTGTTAAAAAAATTAAACAAAAAAAGGTGACTTTCATTAAGAAAATGAAGGGAAGAAAATGGTAAGTGGTAATGCAAAGACAGGGCCAGACCAACGGGGATCAGCCAAAAAGAGAAAATAAATAAATAAATAAAGTTACAGTTGAGAGGCCTGATTTTTTGTGAAAAAAAAGAAAGGGATATTACAAAAGAACTTAGAAACAAGACCAAGTGGATGCACTAACATAAGCAACCACCGAAACTACACCCCAAGACCTCTACACCTGTAAAAACCCTTCTATTCCTCTCCAACTAATTCTCCTCAAAATGACAACGAGATAAGCCTACCAGAGAAGTTTTTCTTCCTCATGAAAGAGGGAAGGCCTAAAGAACTCTTCCATCGACAGGCGACTCCTATGATTACCCAGGAGATCTCATACATCTAAACAAATTACGACACTGCAGAGAAAAGGGACACCGTAAAATAATGATCACACTCAAGCTTGCCAATATATAAAACACACTGTGGGTAAAAGCAAAGGAATAAGATCTCTGAAGAAATTCAAGCCATTCAGGGGTGTTAATCCCTACTACATAAGCAACCAACCATATGAAGAACCCAACTTTCTTTGAAATTATCACGAAAGAAAGACAGAGAGAGAAAGAGAGAAGAGGAAGCCTATCACGAAAGAAACAAGATGAATGAAGAAAGAATTAGAAGGAAAGATTTGAGGGATCAACAGACCAAATACACTTATCCATCTAGAATTAAGTTATGCACAGAGACGAGTTTTATATACTCAGAGAATGTGAAGCCCTATTTCGCTGGCGGGGATGTGATTTGTTTAAACTAAGTGATTAAATTACAATTAAATTCCCATAGTAATCTTTAGATCTGATGAGGAAGCTGGAAGGTTCTCCCTCCCTAAGTTTTCTAACGAGCGTATGGAAATTCTTCTTCCAAACTCCTTTCATAGCATATCTTGTGACAAGTTTTCTTCTTAATCAGACTAGTTATCACCAAAGGGATCTGGAAGAGAAATTTTTTTTCAAGTAGACTCTTGCTTTGGGAAAAACTGAATTCTAATGACAATTATAAAGGATGTTACCTTTTATGCCATTATACCTAGATTGGTGCATTATGTGTCGAACTCGTGGGGAGAATCAGAACTTCCTCCATTATTCATTTGCCATAGATTCTTGGGACAAGTAATTTAACATGTTAATTTACCTTGGAGCCGGCCTTGTTGATCGGAAGAGTAATAACCTACACTGATAAAAGTGGAGATTTTGCTTCTTTTCTTTTTACAAATCTAGTTTTGTTACTTCACTTCAAATCGGTGTATCTGCATTCCCCTCCGAATGCTTTTGTAATTAATTCTATCTCATTGTTTATGCCTCAATTCCCTTGGCTTCTATGGAGGTTTCTCACCTCTATTTTTCATCTAATCTTAATAAGCAGTACTGTTTCTTCGTAAAAAACTAATAATAATTGCTCAAAGCAGCATGGACCGTTGATCAAGTCTGGATCCTGCAAATAAGTCTAAGCACAAGGGAAACGATATTTGCAGTAAAATTTCTGCAGGTGTTTTGTTCCGTAATCCCGATGGCCAACTGAGTCCCATTCATTTCCTTAAAAATCAACGGCATTAAACATAGGCACCGTGGTAAAGAATACACAAACTAACTCATGCTCGGTGGATTTAATATGTTAACACAATAGCACCTATACTCTTTTATATTACCACTACAAAAATCCTTAAACTCTTAAAAAAAGGCGGGTTATTGCTATTGGAATACACTGTTAACAACAGTTATCTCTATCCTCAATGCTCCTGGCATTATTGCGAAGCAAAATGTAAACTACGTATACTCACTCTAACCCATCGCACCCGGAAGCCTGAAGCCTAAATTTGATGTCTATAAGCTTAGTTTCATCTAACAATGACTCCCAAACATCATGCACCATAATCATACAAAACTCGAGCTCAAAAAATAACAATACAATGGTTGGAAACCACGTACCTTCGCGAACTCTTTCAAGAGAGAACGACTGGAAGTTACTCATCTTCATCACTCTCGTCACTGAAATAACTCGCTTTCTTCCCTTTTTTCCTCTCTGCAACGTTCTCACCGCCGGTCAACAGTCTCTGGTCCGCATCTCCATCCACAACCGAGGCCCAATTGTCATCCTCGAACCCTTCTCCACCATCCGATCCCCAGTCCTCCTCGTGCCTTGCACCGACTCCACCCCTCCTCCCCCGCTTCGGCTCTGGTCGCTCCCTTGGCCCCAATTGGTTTCTAGGGCACTCATAAGACAAATGCCCATCAACCGCACCGCACTCGTAGCACCTACTCTTATCCTTATAAACCCTCTTCCTTATAAACTCCGCGGCGCGGCCATTATCGGTCGCTATAGCAGCCTTCAGAACACGGCCATTCAAAATCTTCCCGTTCATCTCTTTACAAGCCTTGACCGCGTCGTCCTGCGAAATAAACTGGATGAAAGCAACGCCGCGAGATCTGCGGGTCTGGCGGTCTTTCAACACCGTGACGCGAGCGATCTTACCGAAGGTGGAGAAGAGAGTATGGAGGTCGGAATTGGTGAGGGAATAGTCAACATTGGAAACGTAAACAGTCGATTTCGAAGGCACCAAACCTCCAGAGCCGCCGCCGGACTTGATGGAAGAGTGTGAGTGTGCTTGAGACGACTGTGAAGATGACGGCGGCGGAGCAGAAGATGCGGCGGAGGGATATCGGTAATAGAAGGTTTCGTCGTCGTCGCTGTCGCTATTAGGGTTTGTTCTCTTTCCCTTTCGCGCCATTTCTTCACCTTCAGGCTTCAGCTTCTCGCCGGCGGGGACTACTGGTTTACGCTGCTTCTAATTTAACCTAAAACCTTCAAATTAATTAAAATAAAAAACAATATTAGTTAATTGTTAAATTAGAATTTTAGTGGTGTTTAATGCTACTCATGTTTAATAAACTTTTTCGGAAACACATCGGATATATTTATCATATCAACGGTTGAGTTATGTTCATTTTAATTATGTCTAATAAATTATTGAATTAAATACTTATCAATATATATCAACTATCGTTAAGTTACGCTCATTTTTATTATATCTAATAAACTACTGAATTAAATATATATATAATATATATATACACACAACTTTAATTTCATGTTCCTTAAAAAAAAAAAAATATTTCAGGTCAAATATGTCACCAACTTAAAATTCATATCTCTATTATCTCTGATAACGTGAATATAATTCAAGTGTAATTCATATCTCTATTATCCCTGATAACGTGAATATAATTCAAGTTAAAACACTTACTTATAATTAAGATATCGTGAGTTCAAATTTTTCATCTTTTTATTACAAAATATTTATTATGCAAATATATGTATATTAACTTTCAATTATAAATCTTAAATTTATGTCGAAGAAACATTATAAGTTTTGTATTATTTATCGTGAACTTTTAATTTTATAATAAAATAAGTTTTTTTTTTCTTTTTGCAATCGTGTCCCCCTATATTTAAAAGCTATTCTATCAACTTTCAAGTTCATATATATTAAATTATTAGATTTAAAAAATGACTTGATTTTATATTTATTAGATCAGTAAATTTTTGAAAAATATCTAATAGATATGTATATTTTAAAAGATCGTTAAAAATATAGTTGAAAGTTTGATTCACAATTTATTGATTAGAAAATAAGTCGATAATTTTTGGTGAGTTACGCTTGGCATAAAGTTAAAATTTTAAAATATGGTTAAACATTTTTATAATTAAATCATCTATTAGACTCCTTACTATATATGAATGGAAAGAGAATAAATTATAAATAAAGCAACCAAAAACAAAAAGAAAACAATAAAGCGAAAGAGAAAATTTCAGCAAAAGAAGAAGCAGCGGCCAGAGGAACAGATCGCGTAGTCATCAGAGCTGTGCTGACACGGAAGAAAGTCGAATTTGTCTCTACATGCCACCGTCCCACTCCACAGAAATCTCTTCCCATAACGCTACAACAAGACAAATTCCAGAGCTTTATCTGCCGTGTCTTCGCGATCCTCAATAACCCACTGCTGGGTTCTTGGATAAGCAATTTCAATAACCGGCGGCTTGGTCTTCTAGGGTTTTCTGTGAGTTCTTATTTCTCTTCTTTCGCCTTTTCTACATTCGTCTCATCGTAAGCATTAGATTAAGAACGGGGAATGAAGATGCTGTTTTTAGATTTGTGTTCTTTGAATTGTTTGATGATGTGATATTTTAGCTGGGTGTTAAGAAAGTATAAGTTATTCTTCGTTATTTATATTTGAGACGAATGATACCTCATGGAGGAAATTAGTGCTGGCGTTGGATCTGAAACATGGAGGTGTTTGTGTTTCAGCTGAGACATGAAGGTATTAGCATTAGTAGCGAAAAGGGTAGATAGGCTCAAATTGTTTTGTTTGTTATTTGCAATCTATTGATAGCTGTA